AGACAAAAAAATAAAAAAATAGAAAGGGTACACACTCAGGAGGCTGAGGCAGGAAGAGCACTGTGAGTTTGAGGTCAGACTGTGCTAGAAAGTCAGCCTGAACTGCACAGAGACCCTTTCTCAAAAAAGACAACAAAACTGAAAACTGAATAAATAAAGGGTACAAAAGAAGTAGGGGCATAGGAATATTGCCAAACAAGAACATAATTTACTAAACTTAACTAGAAAAGTATTTTCAGGTTTAGACACCACAGTGGATACAAGTTTCCAGAGCTTAATTCAGAAAACACAAAGACATCACATATTAATTGAGCCATTAATGTGTCCATTTCAAATCACTTGTATGAATTGTTACAGTTAACATCACTATCTTCAATTTTAAACTTAAAATATTTAGTATTTTGGCAGCAGATTTTCCAGAATGAGTCAAATGAAATTTGTGTTGAGAAACTATACTTTCTGCAAGATGGCACTTTCAAGGTAATTTATAAAGTGAACTATCTGTACCTTTGAACGCAAAAGTGAGCTCATTCCATAGATCTAAATTACTTCCTAACCTACCTATGAGCTTGCCATTCCAGATTCCCCCTACCATTCAGGGCACTGAGATTCCCTTTTTACTCATAATCAAAACGATACAAGAACAGTTTATTTGAATCTCTGTAATGATCCCATGAGCACAAATAGAATAAAATGCTACAGTTCCTTAAAGAAAAATGTTTCAAAATTCAGTAGGTAATGCTAACAGGCATTTAGTGACACAAAGTTATTCAGCTGCTGTTGTAGCAGAAATGGACTGAGTCTCTAACACAAACTCTGAGGAAAAGTATTGCATTATCTTGAAAAATGCTCAAACTGCTGACTGAAAAGACAAAGCAAACCTATTGTAACTTTTCAGGTCCAAGAGACAGGCAACAGGAAGCTTAGTGTGAGAGCCAGAACAATTGGCTAACAAATAAAGTTAGCCATTTTCACCACATAAATGCTATATGATAAACAAGAGGCAACAATAGATGCCGATTCCTTACAATTAAGCCTCAGTTGTTTTAAGGTCTTGATGAAAGTCTCATAACAAGAGAGCAAACCATCAATGAACCCTAGAATGACTACATACATACTAAATCAGAAATCTGGACATTAAGCAATGTGAAATTTCGTCAGAATTTTTAAAAGGCTCAAAAGGACTTCAAAGGAAAGCGAACATTTCTAAGACACAATAGGTAATCTTGTGAATAGACTATGAACCTCTACATCAACCTCCCTAGGTAAAAGCTTAAGCACAAGGCACTATATTTTTATCATTAAACCAAACTAGAACATACTGATAATATAATAGTTCCCTGAATACCCTTATATAAAGCACCATTTCTGTTTATCTTATCTCTTTCCATTGGTTTTTATTTTACTAGAAAATAAATTTTATGAGCTATTATGTTCAAGATTTAAACTGACAATACCAAAAATTCTCTGAATGCCCATATTCAAGTGTTAAAAACTACAGATCCAGAAAAAAGAAACTTGCTCCATCTGCATAGATCAGGACCAAATCTTAAGAAACATGCTCTCTTATTTCTAATTATGGGAAGAAATGGCAAATAAATAAAAAAAATACGAGGACAGATCCAGGCTTGGGATACATTTCTGTAATCCAAGCATTCTGGGAGGCTGAGGCAGGAAAATCACAAATTCAAACCCAGATTGAGCAACTAAATGAGGCCTTGTCACCTTCCCATTTTATTAGACTGGAGAGTCTTTGGGGACCCTAAAACAAGTCCCACGTATCACATGATGTGTGTACTTTCACTTTTCTAAAACCCAAAATCTTATGTTCACCTTCAAGTAAAACCTTATTTCTCAATGCTGTTTTATTAGATGTTTGAAAAACTGCTACATTTATCTATGTTTACATTAAAATGTAAATATGGCCGGGGATATAGTTCAGAGGCATAAGTGCTTGCCTTGCAAGCCATGAGGACATGAGTTCCATTCTCAGTACCAAAAAAAATAATAATAATAATAAAATAATAATATAAATATGAAACCATCGTAACAGGCCCCAAACAGAATGTTTATATTAACATACTTGGCATTCTTGCTTTTGTGCTTTAAAATAATCAATAAGCAGGGGATTAAGAATTCATGTGTTGGTACATGTAACAACTCTTCATGAACCTAATTATCATTTACTGCAAACAAATACTAATTAAGTCAACTAGCTACTTTGTGAATTGTGCTTTATTGCTGCCTAGGGAATTCCGGGAAGAACTAAATCGAATAAAAATCATAATCAGAGCAGGGTTCAGTGGTGTATGCCTGTAAACCCAGCACTCGGGAGGCTGAGGTAGGACCCCTGTGACTTCAAGGCCAGCCTGAACAACACAGCAAGGAAAAAACTCATTATCACTTCTCATGTGAAACACCTTAAGGGGCTGAGGATAAAGTTCCACAGCACAAGCGCTTGCCTGGCAAGCACATGGTCCTCAATTTGATTCTTGGCACCAAAAACCAGTCAGTCAGTCAATCAATCAATCAACCAGACTAAATGGCAAACCAGTATAATTATCTGTTCACCACCATAACTGTACCGGTCACCTAATATATAGGGGCACACAAAGCTTAACCTTTAAAGAAAAAGCTCTGGTAATTATTCTACCAGTAATTTACAGAAGTAATAAATGAAAATGGTTATTGTCATCTACTAGGTATTAATCTTATCCAAAAAACACGACATACAACCAATGTACCCTACTGTATCAGTCAACAATTCAATTTAAATAAAAACTGGTTCACTCCTCCACTAGAAAGAACTGTAGCGCAGCATGGTGGCACCGGTCTGTAATCCCAGCACTCAGGAGGCAGAGGTACAAAGACTGCCTTGAGTTTGAGGTCAGCCTGGGCTACGTAAGTAAAGGACAGGTTGGCTGCACTACAGTGAGACCCTACTTAAAAAGAAAGAAAAACAAAACTTTGTGTGTCACTGGAGAACAAAATCAGTGCCCTTATGTGTAATGTTCCATCAGGTCCTATCCTGAGGCTAGAAAAGAATTTTTTTCCCCATTTTACAAAAAGTTAAAATATGAAATGCAGGATCTTAGAACAGGAAATAATGTTTTATATATATAGATAGTAATTTGTCTTGATGGACTCACTGGGGAGCAGTATTAACACACACTACATGGCTAGGTGTGGTAGTCCTCTCCTATAAGCCCAGTACATGAGACAATGAAGCAGGAAAACTGTCACAAATTCAAAGCCAGCCTGAATTACACTGAGACCATGTCTCAAATTAACTTGGGCTATGACTGTGTGTTATATACAACCCTAGAATACTCCCTCACTCAGCCAACAGGACTGGGTCCTAGACTATGTGAAAGGTGCCACAGGCCTTTAATCCCAGCACTCTTGAGCCTGAGGCTAAAGCAAGATGGCCAAGATTTACCGAGGGCTAACTGGGCATGTTGGCACATGCCTGTAATCCCAGCACTCCGGAGGTTGAGGCAGGAGGATTGTTGCGAGTTTGAGGCCAGCCTGGTCTACAAAGTGAGCTCAAAGCCAGCCTGAACTGCAGTGAGACCCTGTCTCAAAAAACCAAAAAAAAAAAAAAAAAGAAAAAGAGAGGGCTGACCCAGACGACACAATGAGACCATGTTTCCCACCCCATCAAAAGGTTTTGCTTTTGTGTGTACAGATTTCTAACCAGACAACAAGCTTTCTATATTTCACTTATAAACAATTTTAACAATACTCATCTGTCACAATGTTTTCAATAAACACATTCACGTGCTACTTTGATCTTTCCCCAAGACACATTTTAACTTGCCAGTACAGTCTGATTTTTAAAAAGCTCGGATTATAAAATATATTTATGATGTTTATAAACTCCACATTAAGAAAATGTAAACTCAGTTACTGCTGCAGCCTCATAAAGCCAGAACATACTTCTTTCATTTACAATAAA